TATAGTTTATATAGGGAAATAACACTTTTCGGTATATATTTTATCCATTTTCAGCAGAAAATTGCTCAAACTTAGTCAGAATCATCTTGGGTAAATGAGAGTTTTACTTTGTAAAATTAGGATTCCTGCCCCATCCCCAGGGGCTAGGGCGGGGCCCCAAAGGGAACATTTACCAATATTTTCAAATTCTTATCCATTGATGACATGACAAGTATTGTATTTCACTTAGTTTACATGCTGATTTCCACATCACATCTAAACAATAAAATAAAGCTACCAGTATCTATGATATAACTCAGGTGACCGCTAAGGCCCTTGGGCCTCTTGTATTACTTAAAGCTTTAATAGGTAGACTAGACATTTAATTTACTGCTGGCTTTAAACAATGCACAGTGTATACTGGTGTTGTTTCATGATACATGTACAGCAATATTGTTAGCATGATCCAGATGTATGTATTTTGAATAATCAGGTGATTGATGAGTTAGAGGAGAAGATGGGCCAAGGAGGGAACATTGTCGACTATCACAGCTGCGAGTTCTTCCCAGAGAGGTGGTTTGACATAGTCTTTGTGCTAAGGACAGACAACTCTATCCTCTATGACAGATTAGAAAGCAGGTACATGTAAATGTGATTACAGCAGGATATCTATTTTGCTTCTAGCTGTACTCTATCTTATTCTTTATACAATAACAAAAAGTCAAAACAGAGCTTTTAAGTGTTGTGTTAAATTTTCTATTAATCATATGTTTCAAATTTAAGACAATTCACAAGAAGTTGTGACAGCTGTTAATTTTAAGATCAACTGGATCCAATCATTATGTCAACTGATGAATATCTGTTTATACATTCAGTATCAAGACGATATTTTATTTTTCATACACAGACAATCAACTTGTAAAATCTGAAAAATTGTATTTCTTAAGATTTTCAACAGAAAAGTGCCCGATTTAAAGATTTGAATGCAGTGTTTTACCACATGATAAGTCGATGGTCTTCTGTGATAAGAATCTTGCCCCATTTAAAATAGTTTTACTGTTGATAATCTTGAAACAGGCAGTTTCTGCAGTCTAATGTTACAAATGTTTAGAATTATTGTTTGATGAAAGATGTTTACCATTCAATTTGTATTTTACAATTCAGGGGTTATACAGGGAAGAAACTAGAGGACAATGTGCAGTGTGAAATATTCCAAACTATCTTAGAGGAAGCTAGAGACTCATATAAAGAAGAAATTGTTCATGAACTCTTCAGTAACACACCAGAAGAACTAGAAGATAACTTAGAGAAAGTGTTATCTTGGATAGAACATTGGAAGGCCACCCACTAGTAACAAAATATTCCTAGTGGTAATTTGTTGTGTACATTGTTTTTAGTGACAGTGCAGTTTGTGTATCCCTTCCATTTCGTGTACAGGAGAACCAAGTCGACCTTGCTTTAAAGTTGGCTTTCCAAATTTTGTAGAGCTAAAAGCACTTTAATCTCTGCAATGAATATATGTTCCAACTTTATCATGTTTAGTAAGTTTCCTAGTCTGTAGATATTTAAACGCTTGTTTACCTCGATTCTATAGAATAAGTCCCTGTTGAGTTGGAGTTGGTGGAGTTGCTTTAGTGTTTGTCAGCTTGGTAAGAGATTACTTTAGTGGGGCAAAATGGACCCTGAGGAATTTCTGTTTAAATCTGTTAATATATACATGTTAAAATGGACATCTGAAGATTTTCTAACTTGTTTTATAGAGATATGTACTATGAAAGAGATACATTTACTTGCTGAAGTCACTTGAGGCACCTTTCCTGTCAACTCATTATTTTCCAGTGAACTAAATCATTAGTTATGTTTGTTTTCATAACTTTCAAACAAAAGTTTCATTACTAACTATAGGTTCCACTGTAGTTCAATTTATATGTTCAAAAACATATATGTGAATGTAATGGTGAAGGGATCATCAAATATATAACATGATGGATAAGTGAGGTGCGACTCCTTTGTTAAGGCTACTTAACCAGTGTAGACATTTGTTTTACTACTTGTTGTACTAGATGTACTAAGGCCAGACAAAAAATATATGTGTTTCCTGTTAACATAATTGAAGTTTGGGAAGGTAGGTAGGTAACCGATTTTATTAAAAAAAAAAGATTTTATTTGGTTCATATAGGAGACTGCCCCGAGAGTGATCTTGACTTTAACAGTGCTTCTTTGAAAATTGTCTTCAAAGTTCAGGGTAGGCACAACAAATAAGGGTAGGTAGAGTTACCGGAAACACCTAATATTTTGTGTTTTGCCTAATAATTTTGTTCTACAGGGGATATAATTTACATAATGGTAATTGAACCAAAAGACTAAAAGTTGGTTCTGTGTAACTTAAATTTCTGAAAATAAAATTTACTATAAATATTGGTTATGCATGTTTTTAGAACATGATTCATTTTGTGTCTTTGAGATTTTATTAATTTTATAAGATACTACATCTTTCCTTCAAAAAATGATTTGAATTGAAAAAAAGATTATTTGTTAGAGGCATGGGCTTTATACATTGTAATAAAATATTTTACATGACATGCTTTATTTATACACTTTTGATTAGATTTCCATGAAGTGTCAATCATAATAGAACTATGCATTCTTCATAAGAATTGGAACTCTGAGTTTCAACTTGTACCTAATACAATTAAGGTACATGTATATAACTGTGCAATGGGATATCTTGTATGAACGTTTCGTCAATCTCTTATCTAGTCCACAGTTTCAGTCAGTCTAGAATGCCATTTAAATCTGCTGTTTGGTATTTAGAGAGACAAAATAATACATCATGTAAAACACAATTATGATGTACATTCTTTTCACATTAAAAATATTCTTGAAAAAATATACTGCCTTTGGAAATTATCATTGATGATAAGAAATTGTTTTCCTATTGGTGTGATTCCCAACTGCTGTATGCACTACACATTTTGACTGTTAACTAAGACATCAATACACCTGTAAAATAATATCTCTTTTTAGCTCATGCATTACCTCCCTTAGGTTTTAAGTTGCAGCAAAATTCTTATATTCTATTAGGTGTTAAATTATAAATGTGTAACAAAATGGAAATTATAAATTTGTAACAAAATGGAAATTTTAGAGGAATTGTTCATGTATTGGAAGATTACGTTATTATGTGATTAAAAAATTGAGCTTGGTTAATTTAGCCACCAGTAATCTGGTTGTCACACTACTCAGCGAGTGTTTTGGAGGACAGAATAATCTTTTTCCATTAAAATATATCTCAGGAATGTAGCACTTTCACAATCATATAAGTTTAATTGTGAAAAATCTGATGGTATATAAGTATATGACACATTCTTCTGATATTTTGAATCTGATCTAATCAAAATTGCATACCTGTATACCATAACATTTTATACTCAAATAACAAAATGTTAAATAGGAAAGAATACCATTGGTCATTGCAACTGTTTCACTGAGAAAGAGTTCTTTGCCATCTGTTTTACCGTTATGCTCTTACGTTATTAGCTATATATATATATATATTTATTAGTGTGCATGTTATGAGGTACCTGGCAGGTGCAGATTGTTATTGAATCCATAGTTTTACCTTTTGATAAAGAATAAGGACAGTCTGAACTATGTTAAGTTGTCTTTCAAAAGCTGATGCTTCAATTGTGCATGAAACTTTTGTTCATACAAAAATAAATTGGATGATATTGAACATCAAAGGTACAATGATTATCCTACTCAGAATGAACTTTCAGTATTTGGCCAATTTTAGCCCACCATCATCTGATGTTGGGCTATTCAAATCACCCTGCGTCCGTGGTCCGTCCTTAAACAATTCATGTTATCGCTATTTCTCAGGAAGTACCAGAGGGATCTTTCTCAAATTTTATATGTAGGCTCCCCTTGGTCCTAGGCTGTGCAGGGCAACTTTGGGACTGATCGGATAAACAACATGGCCGACAGGCAGCCATCTTGGATTTTGATAGTGAAAGTTTGTTATCGCTATTTCTCAAGAAGGACCAGAGGGATCTTTCTCAAATTATATATGTAGGTTCCCCTTGGTCCTTAGCTGTGCAGGGCAACTTTTGAGACTGATCGGATAAACAACATGGCCGACAGGCAGCCATCTTGGATTTTGATAGTGAAAGTTTGTTATCGCTATTTCTCAAGAAGTACCAGAGGGATCTTTCTCAAATTTTATATGTAGGTTCCCCTTGGTCCTTAGCTGTGCAGGGCAACTTTTGAGACTGATCGGATAAACAACATGGCCGACAGGCAGCCATCTTGGATTTTGATAGTGAAAGTTTGTTATCGCTATTTCTCAAGAAGTACCAGAGGGATCTTTCTCAAATTTTATATGTAGGTTCCCCTTGGTCCTTAGCTGTGCAGGGCAACTTTTGAGACTGATCGGATAAACAACATGGCCGACAGGCAGCCATCTTGGATTTTGATAGTGAAAGTTTGTTATCGCTATTTCTCAAGAAGTACCAGAGGGATCTTTCTCAAATTTTATATGTAGGTTCCCCTTGGTCCTTAGCTGTGCAGGGCAACTTTTGAGACTGATCGGATAAACAACATGGCCGACAGGCAGCCATCTTGGATTTTGATAGTGAAAGTTTGTTATCGCTATTTCTCAAGAAGTACCAGAGGGATCTTTCTCAAATTTTATATGTAGGTTCCCCTTGGTCCTTAGCTGTGCAGGGCAACTTTTGAGACTGATCGGATAAACAACATGGCCGACAGGCAGCCATCTTGGATTTTGATAGTGAAAGTTTGTTATCGCTATTTCTCAAGAAGTACCAGAGGGATCTTTCTCAAATTTTATATGTAGGTTCCCCTTGGTCCTTAGCTGTGCAGGGCAACTTTTGAGACTGATCGGATAAACAACATGGCCGACAGGCAGCCATCTTGGATTTTGATAGTGAAAGTTTGTTATCGCTATTTCTCAAGAAGTACCAGAGGGATCTTTCTCAAATTTTATATGTAGGTTCCCCTTGGTCCTTAGCTGTGCAGGGCAACTTTTGAGACTGATCGGATAAACAACATGGCCGACAGGCAGCCATCTTGGATTTTGATAGTGAAAGTTTGTTATCGCTATTTCTCAAGAAGTACCAGAGGGATCTTTCTCAAATTTTATATGTAGGTTCCCCTTGGTCCTTAGCTGTGCAGGGCAACTTTTGAGACTGATCGGATAAACAACATGGCCGACAGGCAGCCATCTTGGATTTTGATAGTGAAAGTTTGTTATCGCTATTTCTCAAGAAGTACCAGAGGGATCTTTCTCAAATTTTATATGTAGGTTCCCCTTGGTCCTTAGCTGTGCAGGGCAACTTTTGAGACTGATCGGATAAACAACATGGCCGACAGGCAGCCATCTTGGATTTTGATAGTGAAAGTTTGTTATCGCTATTTCTCAAGAAGTACCAGAGGGATCTTTCTCAAATTTTATATGTAGGTTCCCCTTGGTCCTTAGCTGTGCAGGGCAACTTTTGAGACTGATCGGATAAACAACATGGCCGACAGGCAGCCATCTTGGATTTTGATAGTGAAAGTTTGTTATCGCTATTTCTCAAGAAGTACCAGAGGGATCTTTCTCAAATTTTATATGTAGGTTCCCCTTGGTCCTTAGCTGTGCAGGGCAACTTTTGAGACTGATCGGATAAACAACATGGCCGACAGGCAGCCATCTTGGATTTTGATAGTGAAAGTTTGTTATCGCTATTTCTCAAGAAGTACCAGAGGGATCTTTCTCAAATTTTATATGTAGGTTCCCCTTGGTCCTTAGCTGTGCAGGGCAACTTTTGAGACTGATCGGATAAACAACATGGCCGACAGGCAGCCATCTTGGATTTTGATAGTGAAAGTTTGTTATCGCTATTTCTCAAGAAGTACCAGAGGGATCTTTCTCAAATTTTATATGTAGGTTCCCCTTGGTCCTTAGCTGTGCAGGGCAACTTTTGAGACTGATCGGATAAACAACATGGCCGACAGGCAGCCATCTTGGATTTTGATAGTGAAAGTTTGTTATCGCTATTTCTCAAGAAGTACCAGAGGGATCTTTCTCAAATTTTATATGTAGGTTCCCCTTGGTCCTTAGCTGTGCAGGGCAACTTTTGAGACTGATCGGATAAACAACATGGCCGACAGGCAGCCATCTTGGATTTTGATAGTGAAAGTTTGTTATCGCTATTTCTCAAGAAGTACCAGAGGGATCTTTCTCAAATTTTATATGTAGGTTCCCCTTGGTCCTTAGCTGTGCAGGGCAACTTTTGAGACTGATCGGATAAACAACATGGCCGACAGGCAGCCATCTTGGATTTTGATAGTGAAAGTTTGTTATCGCTATTTCTCAAGAAGTACCAGAGGGATCTTTCTCAAATTTTATATGTAGGTTCCCCTTGGTCCTTAGCTGTGCAGGGCAACTTTTGAGACTGATCGGATAAACAACATGGCCGACAGGCAGCCATCTTGGATTTTGATAGTGAAAGTTTGTTATCGCTATTTCTCAAGAAGTACCAGAGGGATCTTTCTCAAATTTTATATGTAGGTTCCCCTTGGTCCTTAGCTGTGCAGGGCAACTTTTGAGACTGATCGGATAAACAACATGGCCGACAGGCAGCCATCTTGGATTTTGATAGTGAAAGTTTGTTATCGCTATTTCTCAAGAAGTACCAGAGGGATCTTTCTCAAATTTTATATGTAGGTTCCCCTTGGTCCTTAGCTGTGCAGGGCAACTTTTGAGACTGATCGGATAAACAACATGGCCGACAGGCAGCCATCTTGGATTTTGATAGTGAAAGTTTGTTATCGCTATTTCTCAAGAAGTACCAGAGGGATCTTTCTCAAATTTTATATGTAGGTTCCCCTTGGTCCTTAGCTGTGCAGGGCAACTTTTGAGACTGATCGGATAAACAACATGGCCGACAGGCAGCCATCTTGGATTTTGATAGTGAAAGTTTGTTATCGCTATTTCTCGGGAAGTATGGGAGGGATCTTTCTCAAATTTTATATGTAGGTTTCCCTTGGCCCTAAGCTGTGCAGGGCAACTTTTGAGACTGATCGGATTAGTTACATGGCCGACAGGCAGCTATCTTGGATTTTGTTAGTGAAAGTTTGTTATCGCTATTTCTCAAGAAGTACCAGAGGGATCATTCTCAAATTATATATGTAGGTTCCCCTTGGTCCTTAGCTGTGCAGGGCAACGTTTGAGACTGATCGGATAAACAACATGGCCGACGGGCAGCCATCTTGGATTTTGATAGTGAAAATTTGTTATCGCTCTTTCTCAACTTTTATATATAGGCTCCCCTTGGTCCTAGGCTGTGCAGGGCATTTTTTGAGACTGATCGGATAAACAACATGGCCGACAGGCAGTCATCTTGGATTTTGATATTGAAAGTTTGTTATCTTTTATTTCTCAAGAAGTACCATAGGGATCTTTCTCAAATTTTATATGTAGGTTCCCCTTGGTCCTAGCTGTGCAGGGCAATTTTAGAGACTGATCGGATAAACAACACGTCCGACAGGCAGCCATCTTGGATTTTGATAGTGAAAATTTGTTATCGCTCTTTCTCAACTTTTATATATAGGCTCCCCTTGGTCCTAGTCTGTGCAGGGCATTTTTTGAGACTGGTCGGATAAACAACATGGCCGACAGGCAGCCATCTTGTATTTTGATAGTGAAAGTTTGTTATCGCTATTTCTCGGGAAGTATGGGAGGGATCTTTCTCAAATTTTAAATGAAGGTTTCCCTTCATCCCTCGTTGTGCATGGTATATTTTGAGACTGATCATAAAAACAAAATGGAATAAAAGAAGAACTAAACAGATCTTTCTCATATTGCAATGATCGATTCTATTTCTTTCACATTAAGTACTGTACTAGTAAAAATGTGAAATGACAAAATCACTTTGAAGGTTGACTTTCATACACATCAGTATAAAGTTAAGATCAAAAGTTACCTCAAGGTGCATTTACTATTACTCGATCAAACAGATTAGAGGAAAGAAGGGAAAAGATCGAACTGACAAAGAACTTATGAAGATGGTACAAAGGTGGGCGCCAAGATCCCTCTGGGATCTCTTGTTTACTTAACAAGTTTTAAGTGGAAGATAAAAGACAGTCCTTTAAAAAAACAGTAGGACTTTAAAGACACTCTTCTTAACATTTTGAAGTAACATTGAAGTGGCTTTCCTATTTCAGATCAAAGTTATGAAATTCATCAAAAGTGAGATAATTGTACAATGTAGTATTTTACTGTGTATTCTGCTCAATTTGTAAATCCCACGTTTGATCATGATGAGGTGAACCATGACTATGTTAAAAAAAAGGACATTGAATATGTAACTTTGATATCTACACTGATGAACCATTACCAATGTGTACACTTTAGGCTAGTTATCATTGTGGCAGACATGTATGCTTATATTGTCAATGTGAGTACGTGTGATTAAACATGTTTTGTGCTGTTGTTTATCATGACGTCATGTAATTTGTCCCGCTAACTGCTCTTGTATGAATATTTTTTTTCGGGGATGTTGTCATAAGTCAATCCATGACTTCAAAGCAAACAAGATTGTTTTTAATCAGTTATAAACACTGGAAAGTTAGAAGTAAAAGGGAG